ATAAGGGTTTATAAGGAGATCTCCAAAAAGCGACGATATCAAATATCTCGTTCATGCAAAGGTCAAACAGTTTGTTATATGTTTACCATCATCAAAACCACGACAGTGACAATTTAGACTTGACTCCATGTGTTTATGAAGACAAAATAAAGCATAAAACCAACAATGACAAAAAGACTTATTTTAAATTACTCTGAAAATAAGAAAGATGATGATGCAGACTGCAAAGATGATAATTTGGTTTGTTAATTCAAACGATATAAGACTAACAAACACTGCGTTTACTACACTAATATATTATAATAAAAATTAATTAAAAATTTATGTATATTTGGTTATATGTCTTACGAATGTAAGCTGTCTCCTGTTTTCTTTCAAATAAATTCTGTAATAATTCAGCTTTTCACCGTAATATAAATAGACTTTAACAGCTTTCTTCTAAATACTTCGAAAAAATGCTCTGGCAAAATGTAAATGATGATTTTTTTCTTTTTGTTTAAATAAAAAAAAACGAATAACATTTAGAAAACATTTTACCATTATTCACCAAAAATTATCAAAAGCGGTTTTTTTCCACCCCTTTACTTGATAGTGAATTTGTTTTGGATACTCCAAGTACATCGCCTAATACTAAAAATTTTATCGGCTTGAAAATATTTGTCTCGGGATTTCTGATGTTTCTATTGCGTAAATCCCGAAAAAATATAAAAATTATATCTTCGATATAATATCTTATTTAAACTAGTTCTTATTTGTTAGTTGGTTTGAGTAATATCCTTGTGCAGAAAAATGTTAAGAAAAAATAAAACAGGCATGGCAGTCTTATTTAAAAGACCAAATGACAAAAAAAAGAAAAAAAATAACACTGCCTAATAAAAAAATTAACAGGGAAACAAGGAAACGTGTTAAAGGACTGTATGACATATATGGGGAAACACTTAATGGTTTTTGTACAGAAGAAACAAAACGATTTTGTTATACATTATCTGACAAATTTACAACTCAGATTTATGTTGTAACACACACTTGATTCGACTCTCCTAAACAAATTTATTGTTGTAAGTCGACTGGTTGTTATTTTTCTTTGGTTGTTTTCCTATTTGAACAAAAGTTCCTGTTTATTAACTACAATCCTTGGCATATAGATCACTCAGAAACAACAATAACAAAAGGACAACACGATCTCATTCCATTTGATAAAAGACAAATTATACTTCGAGATGTAAAAAAAGAAAGTAAGTACACAACTTTCTAGGCAAAACCACTATTTTACATACTATCCTCAGATGCTTTATGATATTTGTAAAAGAGTATATAAAGACCAAACCATCAAACAGGCAAACCAGCTTATTATATACCTATTTTCCCTTTCAGATTTTTCAATCGTGTTATTCGTGGACACTCAAAGAAGATTTGTTGGATGTTTTTGCCTAACATGCTATCAGTAGATGCACATGATAATTCATGTCTTGTCATAGATAACACACTGCACAAATAAATTCTCCAAACCTTTATTTGCTGTTGTTTTTAAAAAGAATGATATAACAAGATTGTTGTCATTTGGGTTTTTACGTGATGTATCCAAACAAACGTTTGAGGATTATTAAAAAGAACTTAAACAACAATTTAATTTTTGATGTTTATCTCCCGTTGGGTTTTCATGTGACCGGTCTGAAGCCCAATCATCAGCACTATATTTAGTATTTGGTCAACAGACAAAGATAAGATACTACTGGTTTCACATACATCACATTTTAGAAAAGCTTTTTTCATATGATGATTAAATTGTTTATTAATTAGATTCAGTGTTTGAAGAAAACGCTGTAAGTGAGAAAGTGAAGGGGTTGTTCTTAGCAAAACTAATATTGTTAATTTCTTCAGAAGACATACGGTCAGATAAAATTTCAAATACAATGAAACTGTTGGATCACGAAGAGTATTCCGATTTTTTAAAACTAGTGTTGTCATCTGATACATTTACAGATAAAAATATCCATAATCGATCTGACAAGTTTAAAGTTCTTTAAACACTCTTTGATATAAAACACACCTTTATGCCATCTCAAGTATGTCAAGAGCTGTATTCAACCTCGAATTTGGCAGAAGGTTTTTTCATATGCAAAAGCACCAATACTTGGTCGAATTCAAACACTATTGGAAGCGGCAAAGGCTTTTGTATTGTACACACCAACTCCAAACTAACAAAAATACGCTTTCTGAAGAACAAATGAATGCTCTCAAACTGCTGGTCCCAATTAATGTGATACTCGAACTTACTTCAAAAACAATTTATTTACTTTTGGACAGCTTTAATACTTTTGTGTGAATAAATGTTCATTGGGTAATAAATGTAATTGTGAAATGTATTTTGAAACGGGGGTTCTTTGCTGTCATATGATATACTTCAGTAAAAAATACAACACCCTCCCGGTCTTGGGAGGTTTTACTGTGATTTTTATGGAATAAATTACACCTAATTCAATTATTCAAGAAGTTTCAAATATTTAAGTTTTCGAGACTTATTATTATATTTTTTATTTGACTTCTTTTGTTAACATCATCATCCCAAGCTTCGTTGATTATTTTGTAAATATTGTTATCGATATTTTTTGGTTGTGGTAATCGTTTTCCATTGACGACAAAGTCCACAATATCCCAAGCATATGTGAAACTTTGTTTTGGATATGCATCTGTCCAACCAAAGCACTCGTACATAGTGATTGCAAACGAGAACACGTCGGCTGGTTTCTTGTAGTGTTGTTTATTCAATATCTCAGGTGCCATGTATTTTGGTGTTCCAATACCTTTTGTGAATGTCATGTTTGTAATCAACAAATTCACATTTCTCGCACTTCCAAAGTCAGTCAATTTTGCATCGACACCATCATTTAGTTCAATTGAAAAGACAAGAATGTTGTCTGGTTTGATGTCTCTGTGCAATATCCCGTTCTCATGTAAATACAATATTCCCCTTGCTGCATCCAACAGCATTTTGACACGCAACTTCATGTCAATGTCATCACTCTTTTTGTGTTTGATCAAATCCTGTAAACTCCCATATTCTGCAAATTCAGAAACCATGCAAATGTGACTTGGTATAAATACAGCACCATAGAAATGGACAATGTACTCATTTCTGAACTTGTCTAACATATTCACTTCCTTCTCAAACTCGTTGCTTTTATCTTTGTCATCATTGCTGTTTTTCATCTTTTTGATGGCAACTGTGTTTCCTCTGAATGTGCCTTTAAACACAACACCAAATGATCCTTCACCAAGTTTCTTCTCTTCGTTCAATTCGTCGTAATCAAGTCTTGTTGATTGTTTTGTCACTCCTATGATAGTGATTGAATTATAACATTCTTTTCCGTTTTTAATATTTTTAGAAACAATTTGAATGGTATCAGTGATATGACAAGTACACTGTGGTGTTAAATATATGAAAATTCACAAGCAAACCCACTTTTCAACACCACAATTTCTGGGTCAAATCTGATTATTAATTTGTCGATTTTTGAAGAAATTGTGAATTGAATTTTAACAACATTTTTCGATGAATTTCCAACACAAAAAGTCTGTTTGGTTTCTTCATTAACTGGCATTTCTTCGATGTCTGAATTAAAATCGATTTCTTTACTCTGAACGCTTATTCCCCCACGAAGTAATATAAACTTGACATTTGATAATTTCATTGCAAATATAGTTGTCGTCTTTTCAACTTCTTTTTGATGAAGATGTGCCAGAATCCTTCTTATTATCAAAACTATAACAATAAATATAAAAACGAGAAAGACTATAATAACCAGCACTGATATCAATATGACCCACCACACCACTTTAGTTTCACAATATTTCCCTTCTATATTAGGTGAATTCCAAAATTTGCATTTTGTGCATTGTGAATTTGTAATTTCAAGACATTTTGAAATGGAAGATATATTCAGACATTCACCATATGACGATAAAACCATATCAGAAGAACAAGTCACACATGTTGTTTGTGAAGAACAAGCTTTACAATTCTTATCACATTTGTCACATTCGTTTCCATTGATTTGAAAATAGTGTTCTGAACATTTTAAACAGCCGTCTGATGTTACATTATCACATCCAACTATAGACGATTGTGGAAGGCATTTTCCACTTTTAGTTCTATAATTCGTTGAGTTACAAGAAAGACACGTGATATTGTTATTACACGTTTCACATTTAACATCACAGTCGTAACAGTCAAGACCAACTCTGTAATACCCCCTTTTACAAATAACACATCCACCGTCTTTTGAAAATGAGTCGCATTTTAATTTTAAGTTATCATTTGTTTCACATTTGTAATTAGCTAAAAAATAATCATTTGCACAACTTAGACACTTTCTCGAATTAGAAATACAAGTCAAACAATTATCATCACAACGTTCACAACTTTGAGTGTCAGTGAGATAAAAATTGTCTTCACAAGATGTACATCCAAATGTGTTTGACAACATACAATGTGAGTCATTCAACAATTGACACGTATTATTATAAATATAATAATTTTGTTTGCATTCAATACACTTGTTGTTTGTGGTATACAGACAGTCTGGTATGTCAACTGAACATCTCACATTGGACTCATTTTTGTTGTCACATATTTTAATATCACATTTTCCATTTGGTGTCATTTCACTTGTTGATTGACACTTCGTCGTTCTTCCATTTTCACACCATAGGGAGTTGGAGTATGTGTCTGTACAATTTTTACACGTCATTGAATTGATGTAAAACCCCTTGTTACACGAAACAATGGTGTGTTCGCTTGAATTTAATATGTTGGCATCTTTTTCAATACAATCCCCATTTATATTAATCAACTGTTTGTTGTAATTACACAATTGGCATTTTCCATCAAACTCAATTATAGCACAGTTGTTTATCAGACTACACGTACCATTTGTTTGTAAATGATATCCCTTGGAACAAAACAGACACCGATTTGCTTTTGTATATAAACAATTTGTTATATTAACACACTTTCCGCTTTCTAAAGAATACGAAGAATGACATTGAACACAAGACCGTGTATCTGATGGACAATACTTACAATTTGTATCACTACACTCTACTGAAGTGTAACATGAATGATTGGTTTTATTGTATATTAATGGGTATTCACAAATTGGATTGATAATACGCGTTAATGTGTAATTCTTGTTTAAAGCTGCACGAAATGTGATTCCCTCGTGATATAAATTTGTTTCTGAAATAAATAAAACATTTTTTGATAAGTTGAATGTTGATATTTCAGTGACTTTGTTTGCTAAAATACCAACAACAAAATTGTTTGTTTTATAAAATGAAATTTGTGTATCAAAAATTGTGGCGCTTTCATCTGAATACAACTCAGTTTGTTTTTGGTGTCTTTTCAATACCATTGTGTCACTTTTTGTCGTGTTTTCAATCAACAGTGAAGTCACATTATACAACGGTGTGATGTACCAATCAACATCATTTCCAAGAGGACAGTATGGTTCCGTATAACTCCATCTTTTTGTTGATAAATCGACTTTATTCAAATGGCAAAATATTTTCTCTGAACTTCCCATTCTAGTCAATTTGCCATTTAATAATAATTTGGACGCGCCATTTATCCTTCCCGAATAAACATTGTCAGTATAAATTAAATCAAAATCATAAGTTGTTGTAATTGTAATAATTCTGAAAACGAAGTTACGAGTGATGAATAGTGGAATATCACGAATTGTTCGAAAAGAAACGTCTAAAATGCATAAAGACAAGTTGACGTTCTCATGTGTTATTATTAACGAGTCTTTTCCAAAAAATATCGAACCATTTTCACAACCAAAATTGTCTACTTCTATTTTTGGGATATCTTCTTTGTGATCAGAGATACCACTTATATATAAGTTTCCTTTTATAACAGTCACATTTGAAGAAATCAGAAAAGCGCCTTGATACACTTTTAAACCACCTTTGTAATACTTTCGTATATCGGTTGGCCGTTGATATTCAAACGCATTATATATTTTGACAAACCCACCAATAACAATTTTAGAGTATTGATCCATCAATAATGTACTGTTATCTGTTACATACAAAACATTTTGAGTCTCAAGCAATGCAGTTCCATTCATTTCTAAAGAACTATTGCCATTCATATAAATTGAGTCGTGTGTTTTTAAAGTACAATTGTCATTAAGAAATACACTTGAATTACCATAAAACGTGATAATTTGTGTGGCATTTATCATTGAGTTTCCTTGCATTATCAAAGTCGTGTTGTA